GGCCCGCGCTTCTAACAAGCAGGGGCAAGAAAACCCAGAATCGAATCGATTAATCGGATCGGCGATCGAAATGAATCGCATCGGCGGAAATCGGTAGCCAAGCCGGCGAAAGCCGAGTCGGCGTAAATCGGCAGTCTCGAAGGCCCCCATTGAGAAATCATAATCCGGATCGAAATCCAGGTCGAACCGGATCGGAAGAAGCATCCCTCGAGATCGAATCGAGCGCCAGGCCGGAAGCATCGCAGTGAGCCCCGCATGGGGTGCCTCTGAGAGGCCTCCCCCCTCCTCCTGCCCCCCCTCCTGTGCCTGGCCGCGAGGGTGGGGCCCCTGCCCCCCCCGGATGAGCCCGGGGGCCTCCAGGCCGCAGCCGCGCAGCTGGTCGAGGAGCGGCAGGAGCTCGTTGAAGCCCTCGTCCCTGGGGGCGCTCGGGGTGCCCAGGATGAGCTGGCACTCCGGGGCGTCTGGGGCCCCCCGGAATCCCCGGGCGTCCTCCTCGCCGTCGACCTTCAGGACGTACTCGTCCTGTGCGGGCACGACGGCGTGGGCCGCCCGGTCACGCTTCCCTCGCCGCCGCCCCCCCCCCCCCCCTGGCAGGATGAAGGAGGAGAGGGAGGCGAGTAGCATGTGAAGGTTGTCGAGGGCTGGACTCCCCCGACCCAGACAACGCAGGTGTGCGGCCTGGGACGGATTCGCACTGGGGTGGGCAGCTCACTCCGGCGTGAGTGGTATAAAGGAGGGGGAGAGAAAGAGGGAGAGAGAGAGAGAGAGAGAGAGAGAAAGAAAGAAACACAGACAGACAACGAGGCGAACGCGCGGGTCCCAGCCGGCAGGGGGAAACCGCCTGCCAAGCCTCCCACCTGTGAACTGAAGGGGCAGCCAAGAGGACGGGGGTGGTGCGACAAGTCTACTCTTAGGTCGGGCATGTCCCCCTGAGTTGTTTAATAACCATTCTGGAATCTTCCTCCTGTAGAAGGACATGCCGAATTAGACCTAGTCCCGCTGGCGCATCTGCTTATACGACTGGGCAGGTGTAGCCCGCCGACGACCCGAGTATGACTGCAGATCTGTGGTCGGGATGGGCAGGTGGGGGGGGTGATGGGCGGTGTTGGCGTCCCGCCCAACGAGAGAGACAGCAAGTCGGCGAGAAAGAGAGAGAGAGAGAGCAAGACAGAGAGGGAGAGAGAGAGAGAGAGAAAGAGAGACAACAACACCAAAGGAGAACCATCACAGTACTACGTCGCCGTCGCCGTCGTCCTCGACGTTGGCGTCGTCGCCGTCGCCCTCGTCGTTGGCGTCGTCGCCATCGTCGTCGTCGCCGTCTTCAGGGTCGGCGGCACCGGCCGTAAGGCCTTCACAGTAAGAATCATCAGAGTACTACCAACACAAATGCGTGGGAGAGTTTCGACCTGGGCCTATTTACTGGCAGTGCGCAAGCGGCTGGAAAATCGCTTGCTGGCATTCGCTTCGGGTCAGAAAGCCAGACCAGGAACTGGTAATCAACTTGGTTACGGATTCAAAGCAATGGTCACCATACCTTCTTGTTGGTACGTATGCATCTGGTCATCTGGCACCATTGTGTGCCGATGCGCTACTGACTGGAGCTGCGTTGCATATCGAACCGCTTCCATGGCTTTATCAGCTCTCTCCCCCAGGCATCCCCCCCAAAATCTATGATGATCAGCGAAAGCCACTGAAAGCACTCGAGGGCCCTCCCCCTCCTGAAACTCCCTCCTCCCCCTTCGTCCATTTCCCCTTCTCCTTGTCCTTGGTCCGTACCCCCCAAGCTTTCTGGACACTCTGGCCCATCTGGCATATCGTCATCCTCCTACGTCTACGGTCTACGCGAAACGATCCGTACAGCGCCGGGTTGTGCACCGCGCCACCTATTGGCATTCGGGCCGTGGTCAGGACGTCGGATAAACAACCCACGAGAGGCAGAAGAACGAGGGTGCGTAAGAGATATCTCCAGGTGGCAAAATCACGTAACACAGGCGGGCACGACTTAGTTCCCAACCAGTGCTTACACTCAGGGGTTCTTACCTCTGCTCCCCCCGAAAAAAACTGGGCCAGTCTGCTGGTCTGGCGGTTATGTTGCTGACGTCGCCGACCCGTCGCCGCCTCGTCGTTACCGTCGTCTGGGCCTGTGTGCGGGTCTGGCGGCTATGTTGCCGCCGTCGCCGCCTCGTCGCCAACCGTCGTCTGAGCCTGTCTGCAGGTCTGGCGGCTATGTTGCCGCCGTCGCCACCCCGTCGCCGCCTCGTACGGAGTTGGCGTGTCCTCGGCTCCTTTGCCCGCTCCCCTGAGACTCGGGGGGAGGAGGAAGAGGAGGAGGAGAAAGAGGAGGAGGAGGAGGAGGAGGAGGAGGAGGAGGAGGAGGAGGAGGAGGAGGAGGAGGAGGAGGAGGAGGAGGAGGAGAAGTTTGACCCCCCCCGGCCAGGCTCGGTCCGTGACAGTGCGCGGCGGCCCGAGGAGTGCTTCCCGGGCCCGGGCCCCGCTGTCCGAGACCTCTTTGGGCTCGGCGCGTGCCCCCTTGTGGACTTGTGGGGGGTGATGGCGCGCGGCTCCTCTCGGCCCGGGAGCGGCCCGAGACGGGCCACGAGTGACGGGCCCGTTTTCCACCACCACCACCATAAGTTGGAGGGGGGAAGGAGGAGGAGGAGGAGGAGGAGGAGGAGGAGGAGGAGGAGGAGGAGGAGGAGGAGGAGGAGGAGGAAGACCCCCTCCCCCTCCAACTTATGGTGGTGGTGGTGGAAAACAAGCCCATCAACGAGGGCCCCAAGAGTCTCACGCAGGGAGGCGCGACAGGGCCCAGGAGGCCCCGAGACCGGCCCAAGACGCCCAGGATGGCCCCGAGACCCCCGAACCGCCCATAGCGGCCCCAAGACGGCCCAAGATGGCCGCCCAAGGTGGCCGCCCCAGAGGGCCCCCAAGACGGACCAACAAGAGGAATACGAACCGAAAGCCCGAGTCTTCCGCCCCAGGAGGCCCCCAGGAGGCCCCAAAAGGCGCCCACAATCACCCAAGAGGCCCCCAGAAGAGGCCCCAGAAGGTATCCAAACAGTCTTCCTCCAAGAGGCGTTCGAATTGCCTCCAAGAGGCCCCCGAAAAGCCCCCCCCACGAGAACCCAACGAACATCCGCTATTCTTCATACCAACAACCCAGGCACAGCGGCGGGATGGGCCGAATGCCATTGGATAGGTTCTCCACTTTACAAAACAATAGACCCCCCGGGGAGGATCACTTCCCCTCTTCGGATTGTAATTTGCATACGAGTCTGCCCCATCGTCCATCCTGAATATGAACTCGTACCATCCCAGCCCAACCAGTATCGCCCCCCAATCATCCTTTGCAACATAAACTATGCGCGCGCAGTCGGTGATCGCAAATCATTTGTGTTCAAAGAGCCCTTGCAACATCAAAACTAAACGGCGTGCGCACGCGCGCGTCGTCGCGCGCATGCCAAATTCCTTCAACAACCTTCGGTGTCGTAAGTATTAAATCGCATGTCAAACAAAAAACGTTTCGCAACACGGATCGTCAAACAAACTTGCGCGCGCTCTTGCGAATTCCCAAGAGAAACCAATGGGCTTCCAACAGCTTCGAGCATGCTACCAAACGGTTTTCGCGCGTGCGCGTGTCGAAATCGCTCGAACGCCCTAGCGCGTGCTGTCGCGAAAATTCGTGTTCCAAAACATCAAACGAAAAGCACGCGCGCGCGTCGTCGCGCGCATGTCGGCATCCGTCAACAACGTTTGGTTTCGTAACGACTTCAAAACCGAGAGTCCCAAGTACACCAACATACATGGCTTCGCAACATCATTTTTCAAAAAAGCGTACGCACAAGCTCTTGCGAATTCTCCACACAACCATGGGATTCCAACATGTCCCTGGAATTCTGCCAAACGGGCCTCTGGCGCCGCATGCCAACATCATTTGCACGCCCTTGCGCGCGTGCAAGGGGGGCACGATCCGTGTCAAAAAACACTATGCGAACCACTCTCGCGCGTCGGCCGCGCGCCCATGTCGAACTCTTTCCAAAACCTCCATCGCCGACGCGAAGACGCCGTCATCGTCGCCGGCGTGGTCAGCATCGGCGCCCGCACTGGCCGCGCTTTCGTCGGTGTGAAGTCAACACCGCCACCAACATCGCCATCAACATCGCGTGTGCAAGTGCCGACGTTGCATGGTTCCGCGCCCGACCAAACCAACGACTCGCAGTGAAAGTGCCCGCTGGGATGCGCCCAGCGGTCAGCGCCACCGCGGCCACGTCGGTCGCGCCAAGCTAGCTGGCCGCTGCGCACGCGTGCTTGGGTTGAGGCGGCCACAGAGATGCACCAGCCAACGCCAAGCATGCATCACAATCGCCACCGCAGCGGTTTTGCAAACCAACCTGCGGGTTGGTGGGTGGGATGTTTGCAAAAGCGTGGGATGCGCCAACTCGTTTGTTAAACTCAATTATCCTTTTCTAATTCTCTTTCAAAAATCTACCACCCTCCCCCCTGGGGTTAAAAACTCACCTCATCGTTTTGCAATGTACATACGATGTTGCCTCACCGTCCATATTAAGCATGAGTCTACACCATACCAGGGGGGCCAGTATCGCCTCCCCTGCCATCCTTTGCAACAATCTACTATGCGCGCTCACTCGTTTATCCAAAATCAGAAGTGTTCAAGAATCCCTTGCGCAAATCTTGTCGAAAAGCACACGAGCGCGTCGTCGCACGCGCATGCCGGCATCTCAAAAACAAAAAAAATGCCCCCGAAGCAATTCAAAAGAGAAAAAAAAAGACACAAAAAAACGAGTTCCCCAGAAACATACAAACACAGGGTTTCGCAACACGGATTTTCAACAACAAACATGCGCGCGCGCTCTTGCGAATTCATAAGCACGCCATCGGTTTTTCAACATTGGCAAACATTACTACCAAGCGGGCTTTGCGCGCGCATGTCGAAATCGTTCGAACGCCCTTGCGCGCGTGCCGTCGCGAGAATCCTTTGCAAACAAGAAGACATGACAAAGTGCAGCGCGCGCGTCGTCGAGCGCGCATGCCGAAATCTGTCAAAAACCTTCGGCTTATGAAAAATATCAAAATCGATTGCCCCAAAAAACATACAACGACGCAAGGTTTCGCAACGCGGATTTCCAACAACAAAACATGCGCGCGCGTTCTTGCGAATTCTCAAGCAAACCAGAGCTGTTTCAACATTGCCATAAAGTGCTACCAAACGGGCGTCGCGCGCGCGCATGTCGAAATCTGTCGAATGCCCTGGCGCGCGCGCTGGGGTGGCGCGATTCGTGTCAAAAAATGCCACGCGAACCACTCTCGCGCGTCTGCCGCGCGCGCATTTCGAATTCCTTCCAAAACCTCCATCACCGACGCGAAGACGCCGTCATCGTCGCCAGCGTGATCGGCATGGGCGCTGTCACTGGCCGCGCCGTCGTCGCTGTCAGCATCGTCACCAACATCGCCACGATCATCGCCGTCGCGTCTACAAGCGCCGACGTTGCCATGATGCCGCGCCCGCCCAAGTCGCCGACTCTCACTCAAATGCCCGTCTGGATGTGCCCAGCGGTTAGCGCCACCGCGGCCGCGTCGGTCGCGCCAAACTACCTGGCCGGCGCGCGCGCGCATGCGCGGACTGGCGCGGCCGCAAAAATGTACCAGCCGGCGCCGAACACTTATCGCAATCGCCGCCGCATGGGGTTTGCAAACCAAGTTGCGGCTGGGTGATTGGGATGTTTGCGCGAGCAGTGATATGGACAACCTACTGCGAACAGAAATTAATTCTCCTTTCTGAAGCCACAATAGGATCGACCCCCCCCCCCGGCGTTATCGCTTCACCTTTCGGGTATGTGAATCACATATGATTCTGACCACATGTCCATCCTAAATCTAATTTTACACTACCCCAGGGGGGCCGGTATCCCCCCCTGAGGTTCCCTTGTAAAAATACACTATGCGGTGGCATGTTCTGCTCCAGCATAATGCTTGTTCACGAATCCCATGCAATAGTAATATATATATATATTATATATATATATATAAAGAAAAAAAAAGAAGAAAAAAAAAAACGGACGAAGTGCACGCGCGCGCGTCGTCGCGCGCGCATGCCGAAATCCTTCAAAAAACCGTCGGTGCTGGAAGGATTTCGCAATCGAGTTACCAAAGAAACATGCAACAACACAAGGTTTCGCCACACTAATTTGCTAAAACAGCTTCCGCGCGAGCTCTTGCGAAATCTTAAGAACGCCATTATTTGTTTTTTCAAAATTTTTACAACATCCTATTCAACGGGCCTCGCGCGCGCATGTCGAAATCTGTCGAACGCCCTTGCGCGCGTGCCGTCGCAAGAATCCTCTGGAACAAAAATATGACGAAGTGCAGACGCGCGCGTCGTCGCGCGCGTTTGCCGAAATCCTTCAAAACCATCGGTTTCGGAAGGATTTCAACATCGCGCGTCCAAAAAACCCCACAAAAACCCAAGGTTTCGCAACACGGATGTTCAACAAAAGCGCGCGCGCGCACTTGCGTCGTCGTCGTCGTCGTCGTCGTCGCCGTCCTCCCTCCTCCCGCGTCGTCGTCGTCGTCGCCTACGTCGTCCTCTGTCTTTGCTCGTGTTCGTCGTCGTCCTCCTCGTTGGCGTCGTGGTCGTTTCCGTCGTCGTTGTCGCCGTGGTCGTCCTTCCTCCTCCTCCCTCGTCGTCGTCGTCGTCGTCGTCCGTCGTCGGCGTCTCGTCGTCGTCCCTCCTATTTCGTCGCCGTCGTCGTCGTCGTCGTTGTCGTCGTCGTCGTCTTCCTTCCTCCCTCGTCGTTGTCGTCGTCGGCGTCGCCGTCCTTTCTCCTTTTTCGTCGTTCGCGTCGTCGCCGTCCTCCCTCCTGCCTCGCCGTTGTCATCGTTGGCGTCGTTGTCGCCGTCGTTGTCCTCCCTCCTCCCTCGTCGGCGTCTTCTTCGGCGACGTCGTCGTCGTCTTCGTCGTCGTCGTGGGCGTCGGCGTCGTCGTCGTCGTCGTTGTCGGCGTCGTTAACGTCGTCGTCGTCGTCGGTGTCGTCTTTGTCGTCGTCGTCGGCGTCGTCATCGTCGTCTTGGGTTTTGCAAACCAAGTTGCGGGTGGGTGGGTGGGGTGTTTGCAAGTGCGCGGGATGTGCCAACTCGTTTGTTTAAATCAATTGCACCACTTAGATTGCACCACAGTGGCTGCATCACGCGCATCGCGCAACATATATTGTGCAACGCAAGGGTTGCAAAACAGAAATGTTGCGCAACATATATAGCACCGCGTATGTTCCATTCCTTAAACAAGAATTCTGTCCTCCCTGGGTTGGCGATCCACCCCTTCGTATTGCAATTTGCATACGATTCTGCATCGCCGTCCATCCGAAACACGAAATCATACCACCCCAGGCGGGCCAATGTCAACAAAAACTGCGCGCGCACCCGTTTGCCGAAAAACAACTGTTTGCAAACGCCCCTAGCAACAAATGGGCAGAATGCACGCGCGCGCTTCGACGCGCGCGCATGCCGAAATCTGTCAGAAACCTAAGGCTTCGCGAAAAAATCTCAAAAACGAGAGCCCTGAACACATGCAAACAAAACCTGGTTTTGCAACGGTGGACGTACAAACCCCACGCCCGCGCTCTTGCGTATTCAGAAACCATGATAGTTTAAAACTTCCATACAATGTTACGGAACGGGCCTCTCGCGCGCGCATGCCGAAATCGTTCGAACGCCTTTGCGCGCGTGTTGTCGCAATAACCCCTTGCAACAGAAAAGGGCGCAATGAATGCGCGCGCGTCGTTGCGCGCGCATGCCGACACCCCTCGAGGCCCTCAAATCCCGCGAGGATTTCAAAAACAAGCGCCCCGAACACACTCAAAAAACAAATGGTTAGCAACGCCAGTTTGTGAATATATATATATATATATATATATGTATATATATGCATATATAATCGCATCTATGTAAACATGCATATAAATCATTGGCTTCGCGGTCTTGCGGGCCCTTACGAACTGCAAATGTTTTTCGCATCATAATCTGCCAACCGGCCCCCCCGCGCCGCATGTCGAACTCGAGCGCCATTGTAAGGGGGGGGCGATCCGTATCGAAAAATACTACGCGAACCACTCGCGCGCGCCAGCCGCGGGCGCATGTCGAACTCCTTCAAAAACCTTCATCGCCGACGTGAACGCATCGTCATTGTTATCGGCGGGCGCGATCAACATCGGCGCCGTCATTGGCGTTGCCGTCGTCATCGGCATCATCATCACCGCCATCGCAACTCTCATAATCGCGTCTACCGGTGCCAGCGTTGCATGATACCGCGCCCGCCCGAACCGACGACTCCACTGCCCGCTGGGAAATGCACCGCGGCCAGCGCCACCGCGGCCGCGTCGGCCGCGCCAAACCATCTGGCCGCTGCGCGCGCTAGAATGCGCGGGTGAGCGCGGCGGCAAAGATGCGCCAGCCAACGCCAAACACTCATCGAAATCGCCGCCGCGTGGGTTTTGCGAACCAAATTGCGGGTGGGTGGGTGGGATGTTTGCAACGTCGTGATATTTCTCAACTCGTTTTTACCAGCAAATGCAACGCGTAGATTGTTCCACGTATATTGCACAAGCCATATACGGCGCAACGGCATCGCGCAAGTTACACCGCGTAGGCGGCGCCACATGTATTGTTAGAAACACGCGCAGTTTGGGGCCACGCTGGCTAACATACCCATGCCCACTGCGTCTTGAACTTTCTGGGGCGGGGCGCCAAAGAATCGAAGCGCTGTGGATGTGGACAAACGTCGAGCCTCCAGCGGCCCCCGGCGTCGTGCCCATACCCACGGCGCCTCTGACTCCAGGGGAAGGGAAACCCCATGTTGCTGTGGATATTGACATAAACCGTGCGCACAACAGACACATCGCGAGCAGCGCGGCGCAACCCGCGCGGCGCAGCTAGCGAACTAACGGGCCCACGAAGCGCCCGCGGGCAACCGCCAGGCGAGACAGCGAAGACGGCAACCCGCGCGCGGCGCCTACGCAGCGGCCACTGGCGAGAACCGCGCGAAAGCACCGAAATGGCAGCCAACGGTTTTGAGCAGACGTAAGATTCCACGCGCCCTATCAATGTTCGAATGATGACTACACATGGGTTGGTCACATATATATATATATATACATCCCTGCGGGTGCACTTGCACCTGGTGCAAAATGTATGATATGTGTAGTATGTGTACGTATATGTTTGCTTGTGCGTGTCAGTCCGTGTAAGTGTATACGTATGTGTATATGTATATGTGTATGTGTGTGTATGTGTACATATGTGCAAGTGCGTCATGTGGAGATATGTACGACCTGTGTATGTGTACATCTGCGTAAGCGTGTGTGCATGTATGTGCACATATGTGTGCGTATGTGTGTGCGCATATGTATGTATGATATATGTGTGTATGTACATATATGTGACAGAAGTGCACGTCCTCCCTCCGCCTCCTCCTCCCTGCGACTAATACTACATACTAATACGTACTACTACGTACTACTACGTACTACTACGTACTATTACGTACTACTACGTACTACTACGTACTACTACGTACTACCACGTACTACTACGTACTACTACTACTACTACTACCACTACTACTACTACTACTACCACTACTACTACTACTACTACTACTACGACTACTACTACTACTACTACTACGACTACTACTACTACGTACTACTACGCACTACTACGTACTACTCCGTACTACTACGCACTACTACTACGTACTACTACGTACTACTACGTACTACTACGTGCTACTACGTACTACTACGTACTACTACGTACTACTACGTACTACTACGTACGACTACGTACTTCTACGTACTACTACGCACTATTACGTACAACTACGTAATGCTACGCACTGCTACGTACTATTACGTACTACTACGTGCTATTACGTACTACTACGTACTACTACTGCAAACACGTGCGTCCTCGTATTTCTCCTCCTCCTCCTCCTCCCCCCCCCCTCCTCCCCTGTCGGCGCCAGAGCGCTTTGCTCTTTTTGCTCGCAAGGCCTGAATGCCCTAAGCCTCGCGCCCCCAGTACTCGGCCAAGCGCGCCTGCCTGTCCGCTTTCAAAGGGTGATGGCATCGAAACCACCACTGGTAGACGTTGCCCCAGAGCTCCACGTTCAGGTTGCCCTCGCCGTCACTCCCCCAGATTCCCTTCGGAATCCACTCCTTGATGCGAGACCACCGCTCATCGATCAGACCTGCGTTCACATCGAGTGTGCCATGCCCGCGCACGCGCGCCCTCTCATTCCATACCCCCTTGGAACGCGCACATAGTCGATGGCGTAGGCCATGCTCACGAGCCAGGCGGGCGCACAAACGAGCACCGTCAGAGACCAGCACCGACTTGTTCGCGACGTGGTCGAGGCCGCCCGACGCCAAGCCGTCCTCGCGGCACTCTACCTGGGAGGGGGAAATCACTACAGGTCAGCCCCCTTGGCCCTCCACCCTCCCTGCCTTCATCGCCCCGTCTCCTCCTCCTCCTCCTCCTTCTGTTTCTCCTCCTCCTCGTCCTCCTCGTCGTCGTCGTCGTCCTCCTCCTCCACCCTCCTCTGTCCCACCCCCTCCCTCCCCTCTCCCCCGTCTCTCCTTCCGACGAAGGCAGGGGGGTGGAGGGTCAAGAGAGCTGGCCTGAACTGTTTTACTCCTCACACTACCGGGCGCGCGGCTTCGGGCGCAACCTTTTTGACGGGCGCGAAGTACACCACCGCTCGCGGCGCGGCTGACCCGCGGGGCCGCTCGGCCAAACCCCGCAGTGCCACGTGGCAGTTCTTCCCCTCGTTCTTGAAGAGTTTCAGGCCAGCGCCGTCGCCCTCGACGACGCCCTTGAGCGTCATGGCCTGCATCTCCTCGTAGCCGAGGTTCGCCTCCTGCCAGCGTAGCCAGCGGAAGAGCTTCATGACGGACCGAAAGCGAGACATGCCTACATCCTTGCAGAGCTGCTGCAGCTCGGGCCTGGTGGCTGCATGGTACATCTCTACAAACTCCACGAGCGCAGGCAGCGGTTACGGGTACTTGACCTGGGGGAGAACGCAGAATTTGATGCAATTGTAGATGTCACCGCATCTGCTGCCCCGAAAGAAGACCGAGGTGAGCTTTCTCTTCTTGACCGCCAGCGTGGCCTGGAGCGCCTTCTTCCCCTTGGTCTGCGGGCCGTTCCCTGTCTGGCCGTGTCCGTCGAGCTCGGTGCAGGTGCAGCCTGCAGGGCGCCGAGGGCAAGGGTAGCTGCTGCAGTTACCACGCGCACCCGCCTTGGCCAAGCGCCACTTGACGAGAGCCTTCCACGCTTTGGCCATGCTCTGCTTTTCTGCCAAGGCCAGTTTTGCCTCGTCCTCGGCGCTCCTGGTCAAGCAGGGGCGCCTCTCGTTCGCCGCCTTCTTGCGCCCCTTCGCTGCCTTCCTGGCCGTGGAGACCTTCGCAGGCGCGCCGTGCCCGATGGGAGATACCCCTGTGTCCAGTTGGTCGAGCCTCGTCCGTCCGCGGCGACGAAGGCAAGTTGGTGTTCCTCCTTTTTTTATGATTCTTCCCCCTCCCGTCCTCCTCCCCCTCCTCCTCCGTCTCCTCCTCCGCCTCCTCCTCCTCCTCGTCTCTTCCTCCACGTGTATCTCCCAGGGAAGCGGCATGCCCGCGTGGACCCTGCGGCTGCCCTTGCGCGCCACCCTGCGCTGCAGCTTGTGGGCCTCGCGGTGGATGAACTTCGCCTGTGTCCCCGTCACCTTGAGGCCCGATCCGCCTGCCCTGAGCGCGTCCACCACGGCGCTGGGGGAGTGGGCCTTCTGCACGCTGCGGAGGAGCTGCTGGGCGAGCTCGGGGCAACTCCTGAGGTTTTGGCCAGCCTTGCCGCAGTGCTGGCACACTCGCTGCTGAGGCTTCGGCATCACTGCAAGCGGCGCCTCTTAGCAGAGTCTGGCTCTGGCTCCGGCTCTGGCTCCTCCACGGGGCCCACGGGGCCCTCTGCCTCCTCGTCGCTGTCGAGCTCCGTGTCTGGCACGAAGCTGCCCTCCTCGCTCTCGCTGGCCAGCTCGTACCCGCAGGGTCCGAGCCCGTTGTTGTCCTCCTCGTCGGACAGCCAGTCCGTCGCTGGGTCGTCCTCGTAGTCGAACTCCCAATTGTGGTCGGGGTCGAACCAGCAAGGGAGGCAACTTACCACGGAAGAGCTGCGTTGCAGCCCCGGGAACAAGTGCCAGCCACAAGGAAACCTGCAGTAGTCACACCTGGGCATGCCAAAATGGCACGCTGGGAAGCTCTAGGCCTTGACCCAAAACGGCTATGTGGAGAGAGGGAGGGGGGAGGGGGAGGGAGGGAGGGAGGGGGGAGTAGTTGTAGTAGTAGTAGTAGTAATACGTACTAGTAGTAGGCGTAAATGGTTAGAGGTAGTAGTCGGTAGTATGCAGTAGGGGGTAGGTCGTGGGTAGTAGTAGTAGTAGTAGTAGTAGTAGTAGTAGTAGTAGTAGTAGTAGTAGTAGTAGTAGTAGTAGTAGTAGTAGTTAGTAGTAGTAGTAGTTAGTAGTAGTAGTAGTAGTAGTAGTAAGTAGTAGTAGTAGTAGTAGTAGTAGTAGTAGTAGTAGTAAGTAGTAGTAGTAGTAGTAGTAGTAGTAGTAGTAGTAGTAGTAGTAGTAGTAGTAGTAGTAGTAGTAGTAGTAGTAGTAGTAGTAGTAGTAGTAGTAGGTAGTAGTAGTAGTAGGTAGTAGTAGTAGGTAGGTAGTAGGTAGTAGGTAGTAGTGGTAGTAGTAGTAGTAGTAGTAGTAGTAGTAGTAGTAGTAGTAGTAGTAGTAGTAGTAGTAGTAGTAATAGTAGTATTAGTAGTAGTAGTAGTAGTAGTAGTAGTAGTAGTAGTAGTAGTAGTAGTAGTAGTAGTAGTAGTAGTAGGTAGTTGTAGTAGGTAGTAGAAGGTAGTAGAAGGTAGTAGTAGGTAGTAGCAGGTAGTAGTAGGTAGTAGTAGGTAGTAGTAGGTAGTAGTAGGTAGTAGTAGGTAGTAGTAGGTAGTAGTAGGTAGTAGTAGGTAGTAGTAGGTAGTAGTAGGTAGTAGTAGGTAGCAGTAGGTAGTAGTAGGTAGTAGGGAGAGGGAGAGGGAAAGAGGGGAGGGGGTGGGAAGGGTCCCGCAAGTTCCCCTCTGAATCCAGGTTGTTCCCAAACAGTGCTTGCAGCAAGTGTGCCGCGCGTTGCTTATCATACTCCATGTCATGTGAGGATGTCTCGAACGAGAGGCCCATAGAGGTGCAGGAATCAGTGAATTGCGATGTTCGCATGTATGAAGAAACTGCAAGAACCATGTAGAAAACAGCACCAAAAGGCACAGTGTTTTTTGGTAGTGGTCCCCATGCTAATCTGTATATCACCAGGAGCTACAGTCACGGACCCCTCCCTCCAGTAGGCCATCCAGCATGTACGACGCACTACCACCTACGACCTTGTCCAACTGCCCAGCCGCAGCAATCTAGTAACGAACCACAACGCCTCGGAAACGAGATGATCACTTTGTACCACTGGTGATAGGACGAACACGAACCACGCACTACAACGAACTACAGCTACCACCTACGACGTGCCACCAACCAACAAACATCATCAGTGACGCACAACACACACCTACATCGAACGATGGTGACGATCAGGACCACCTACGAGAGAACCACCAGGTGCAAGTGCACCCGTTAGTATATATATATATATATATATAGAATATGCAGCAGGAAGGCGTTGAACAAATCTTGGGTATCCGCCCGCCCCTAAGGAAAACGGAAAAAAAGGTGAAGACACTCGATCATTGAAGTAGAACGGCGCTTAAAGTAGATTGGAATCTGGGACTGCAGCAATATTCACTTTCAACAACCGATGGGTAGTACTCCCTGGGTGCAAACAGTGTTCGGGGAATAGTGACTAACGGCTCCTCTCCTGCTTCTTCCCCCAGAACGACCCCCCAAAAACATGTTTTGGCGCTGGAGATGAGAAGCTTAAACGCGGACGCCGTTAGGGCGAATTGTGCCACAATGCAAGAAAGGAGCGAAGAGAGGACGCGGCCGAAGGAAAATAGGGACGGGGCGGGCGGCTCAAGGGTCAGATCGTTTCCCGAGCGTGTGGGGCGGCCAGCCCCTCCGCAAGAACCCCCAAGAGCATACAAAAAACACAGAAAATCCAAGACCCCCCAGAACGTCCCAAGGCCACCCCAGACCCTCCTCCGTCCTACGGTTTTCTACTCTCTCTTCTTGCTGTCCTTAGATGTCCATGCTGAAACAAGTGAGCCGCAAGATGGGGTAATCGGGAGCCTACAAGAAGCGCGGTGATCACACCGTGTGATGAGTCAGTGGGGATTCGGGGTGACCACACGTCTTTGGAATTGGGTCGTTCTCCGAAGACGTCTCAGGCGATCAAGGCCTCCTAGAACCCAAAACCATGCGGTGACCGACCGGGCAATGAGGTCGATGGTGGTTTAGGTCGCCGCATTGGGACCCCTAAATACAGCATGTTCGCGTCGTGTCGACGCGGCGGCGACCCCGCCGCGGGCGTTCGAGGTTGAATGCCGGCGGTGGCCCAGCATCGGCAGATGCGAATCGATCTGGCGATCGAGAAGCTGCCGATCAATCGAGGTTGAATGATCCACGCGGTGTCTGGGAAAATCAACAGGTACGAATACCGCTACTCCCTGGACCTCTCCTATGGCGCGTTCTGTCTAGGATTTCGAGGCGAAGCCAGCGGTGGCGACGACGGCCTCCCAGGAGGCCCCAAGAAAGGAAAACGGGGGACGGGCAACGGTATGGGTACCTTCTCTTCCTCCTCCTCCGGGTTGAACGGTCCAAGCGGTGTCAGAAACCAACGTCGGGGTCTGCCGGGGTGCATCCAGCCGTGGCCGCGCCAAGCCTCCCGAAGGCTCAAAAACGCGAGACGATCCAAAATACAAACCTCCGATGCGGACCCACGTGGCCGCATCTTTGCGATGGCGTGCGGCTTCTTTCGGCTACACACAGGAGTAGCCCTGGGCAAAGTACAGTAGGAACTCGACCGGAAGAAGCCTGCCACAAGAAACCCAACCCCGAGGTCCCGGGGCGTCCATCGATTTTTGGTGTCGGAGCGTCACTCTTTCCGTCGCAGAACCATCGAAACCCCAAAAAAACCCAGGGCACCCTGGAGGCAAGCAGGGCGTCTCTTGGCATGGGCTTCCACGGGTGCGCGGCGGTGCGCAGCTGGCCGATCGGCCGTTGAAAGCGATGCGGCAGTAGCCGCGGGCGTGCTCGGGGCTGCACCCCCCCCTCGCCCCTGCGCCTCGGCAGCAGCCGCGCACCAAAGGTCACTTCGGGGAGGGGTCCCTCCCCCCTTGCTTTCGGGGGCGTCCAAGAGGGGGGGCGCTCAAGAGGGGGGTGCCCAAGAGGGGGGGCGCTCAAGAGGGGGGTGCGCGGATCATGGCTGGCGGCGTGTGCGCGGCCAGGGAGGGGGGGCCGGGGGGCGCATTGAAACAAGAAGAGGCGCCATGACACCTGGGGTTAAATCGGGCGTGTCCCCCTACAAGGGGATTTTCGACGAAAAGTAAGAAATACGCAAAACATGCCACAAAATAGACAAAACATACAAAACAAATATCCCGGCAAAGCAACCTAACAGCGATGTGTATAAGCATATCTGGAAGCATTCGCCTTAAGATTCAGGTGAGAATCGAGTTGTAGAATTATGCGGTTCTCGTAGTCGCAGTCGCATTCGCAATGACAGTCGCAGTGGCAACGGCCTTTGGATCCAATGGAATCCTAAGGACTCCTAGGGATTCCTAAGGCATCCTTAGGCATCCTTAGGAATCCATAGGAATCCTTTGGAAATATTAGAAATCCTGAATCCTAGGGATTCCTAGGGATTCCTAAGGATTCCTAGGGAATCCTAAGGATTCCTGAGGATGCTTAACTATGCCTACGGATTACTAAGGATGCCTACGGAGTCCTAAGGATTCCTAGGGATTCCTTAGGACTCCTATGTATTCCTACGGATGCCT